ACCAGGGTGAAAAAAATAAATCAAAAATAAACATAGATATATATAAAAGGAAAAATGATTAGAAAAAGTGCTTCACTGGTTCTATATGTAAGGATATATATTTTTTTTACTGTAAAATTATATTAATTCACCAACAAGATATATAAACCTGACAACAAACATTTTCTTTAGGTTTCCAATGCTAATTTAAAAAAAAAAATAAATAACAGATTTATTTTTGATAAGAATCTTTTCAGTTAAAGGAAACAGATATTTAGTTGGAGTATATATAATAGATGGGAAAACTTAGTAATTGAAAAGTTACAGCCAGTTAGCAGTTAAATCTACAAAGTAATGTTAACATTTAATTCTTGAGGCTTAAGAACCACAGATCAAATACTAAAAATTAATGCTAAGAGATAAACCCCAAAACCACAAAGCTTGTTAGCACAGTTAGCTGTTTACCGCAGGGAATTATCTGTAATTAAGCTAAACTTAAATCTTTCAAGTCATCTTTACTCTTAGATCTGTTAAACAAATCTAATTTTTCTCTGTGTAGACAAAACTTTTTCTTTGATGTTGCAAATTAATTGTGCTCATATTTTATTCTGATTTAAAATAAGCTATGCGGACAGTATTGCTATTAATTAAAACCTTAATTTTATGATATATTTACTTTTCCTGGGACAGTTAACTGAAATGATTTGACAAGAAACACAGAACAGATCCAATGCATTACTCTGTGTTCATTTGTGTTTTCAATACTTTTCTTATTTGCAAAGTGAAGACTGCTATTCCTTAAGCAATGCTATACGAAGCAAACCTAATAAGAAAGGAGCAGAAAGAAGTAGGCAGATGCTGAATTAATTTATATGCTACCTATCTGCAGAGGAGCCTGCAGATGATGCTGATGCAAAGGGATGCATAAGCTCTGAAGGTAAAGCAACAACAGAGTGAAGAGCATTCAATTTTTGTAGTCATATGCCTCGCTGCATAAGCAGAGGTATTCACAGTGCGGCATTTTTACCTAAAAGGTACTCAATATTGGTAGCAGTTCACATAACATTCTTTAACTATTATTTAAAACGGATAACACACTTGCACTTTGTAAAGCACTGACAAAAGTAAGCTATGATAATGATGCTAAACTCCTTAAAAGTAAAATTGGAATCCTTTCATTTGTTTAGCCTGTAATTACCTTCACATTTCTCTTTCATGTTATGTCACAATGGCTCTAAGGAAGCCATAGCATTACAAAACCACTGCAACAATAAATGACAAATAGCTGTGATATTACACATAACTGTAAAACAAAACAAAAAGACAGGTTCACAAAAACAAAAGAAACTTGCCTCCCTATTATAAATAGAATCAGAGAAAGCCTAGCAACATACCCACTGTGCATCTGGTGTCTGAGAGTGAATAAATATTCAGAGTGCATGATAGTGGAAGCTGCACAGGTGCATATATTACCTGTATCAAAGCAGCCAGGAGACTAGAGGGATGGTAAAAGGTAAAGACATAAAAGCAACGCTACTTAACCTACCAGCTTTTGTGTTGGTGCATTTGGAGCAAAAAAAAAAAAAAAAATCTCCATTTTAGATAATAGCGTTATCTTGTCTAAATCTGCAAAAAAATATTAGCTTTGTTGTTCAATAAATGTACCTGTATTTGTGGGTAAGATGTTGATGCAGAGTGTAGGTAGGCGGGTGATGTTTTGTATGATCAATTCTGCGGGAAAAAATGCATAATGTGGATCTTCCATATTCTTGCAGACACTGACACCATTTAAAGAGATAGTTTGAAATTTCAAAGTGATGTTTTTGAGGTTGTTATCAGTTACACCTACATATTAATTGTTCACTGATTTTGAAGATTCATTTACTTTCCTGTGATGTGTGTGATATGCCATGGTTTGACAGCTAGTAAGGAAACTACTTCTAGAGATTTTGAGGCAAATTTCCATCACTCAATTTTCTTTCTGACTTGCAGATTTTACCTATTTACACCAAATTAAAACTGGTCAATAATCAGTGCAATTGTGGGTAAAACAGCCAATGTAAAATAAATAATAAAGAAACGGAAACTGACAAAAACAATAAGTTGACTGCCTTGCTCAAACATGTACAAAATAAACTGCAACAAGCCTTTCAAATGGTTCCAAAAGTGAAATTAGAAATTCTAAATAGAATGTAAAATAAATAAAAAACGCATAGATTTTGACTGAGTAGATCTACTCTTATGGATAGTACAGCACACATAGTCACCGATACCCGATCTAGAACTTTTTTTAAACATTGAGACCAATACAAATATTCACTTCTCTAATTATTAATGTAATTATTTATCTTGTAAATCAATACAGTTGAATGTGTGATCAAAACAGTAGCAATGCAGTACTTTTTTTTTGTTATTGTTTTTTTTTTTTTTGCTTTTATTTTACAACACCAGAAGAAAAAAAAAAAATAAACGCTTTGAGTAAAAATGCACTGAACTCAAATATATTAGCTTCAGTAAACCCACAGTAGAGTTCTACACAATGCCATTCACAGCTGTGGAGACAATGATGCCGTTTTTGTTTTTGAATTTTAGGTAGCTTTATGATATATTTTACGTAATCTTGTTTTTGCATAGTTGTGCATATGCGTGTCTGTTTGGCTGTTTCTCATTTTGTTCTCCTTGTCTTTGGTTGGACTTTGAGTCTGAAATAAAGTTTCCATCTATGTTGGTGTAGACAATATTAGGTCATGGAGATCTGATTGGAACTCAAGTTCGATTGATTGATTGATTGATTGATTGATTGATTGATTGATTGATTGATTGATTGATTGATTGATTGATTGATTGATTGATTGATTGATTGGAACATCTTTGACTGGTGATCTCTTTAAGCCGTCTTCAGAATTTGATCTTGCCATCAGCAGTTCTCGTGTGTATTCTCTGCACCGTTAGTAGACCTGTTCTGCAACTGAGTTTTCAAAAGTGCTGATAGCATTTCCCAATCCATTTTTAAGAGAGGAAGGATAAAGCAGAGCAATGCAGAAAGTTCATCTCTCAGTTGTGGCAGAATGAACCACCAACATGCCTCAATAGAAAAAAAAAACATAGTTATCTTTCCACAGTAATAACTACGACACTGAAGGGTGTAATCAATATAACTGGGTAGCATTTATGGTGCATTCTAAAATTGAACAATATGCTATGGCTGAAAACTGTAATAATGGTATTTTCAAGGCAATTAATACACATTTATATGACTTTTCTATTATGTTTCCGACACCTCAGTGACCGTCAGCATAACAGCTGCTAAAATTACATATCAGTTGTTTGTATTAGGATCAGTCAAATCCCATACAGCTGGTCAAATACATTACCAAAATACAATGCAGTCCATTTCACCTGAGATTGCATATACTGCCAAATAGTTTGTATCACAAGTAGTGTTATTACAATGACAATCACAGTAATGATAATAATTGCTGCAACAACATTTCCATCTCAAAACTGATGGGGAGGAAAGTTGAAGTAATGAGGCAATGATCTCCTCCTAAGAAGAAAATCGGCCAATTCTGGTCATCAGTCCCCTTTTTTGGTGCATTTCAACTGCATAATGCTTCACTTCAAAAATGTCCAACTATTTAATGCTCAGCTGACCAGCCCTGTCAAAGAAAAACCTAATTTAATCTAATCAGTGGTTTTTCTTTCTAACTACATCTCTCACTTAGGAACAGAAAAGACATTAGCAAACATACAGATATTAAAAGCATTGCCTTACTTGATTGGATTTCTCTTATCTTACAAACCCAGGTCTATAAATGAACTGCCACTGCAGTCAAGCAGCATCAGTGCTGCACTAGTTTCATATGTACAGAACGTCTCTTTTGATATATCTCCATATGACTGGCATTAGAACTTTGGCTGAATCAAATTGTGAGGGGGATGGGGGAAGTGAAGTGATTGAATTTACACCTCCCACAGAGTTAAGTTTGGTCTGCCATAATTCCTCTCAGAACACACGCAACCACCAGATCACACATATATAAAAGTGAGACAGACAGGGAGAGATTCACACATCTTCTCTGCCAGCCACTAGAGCGCCTCCATCTCTGCCCTCCTGAGCATGCTGCAAACAAACAGTTCATAGCAATGTAAATGGTGTGGAAAGTGCTGCATAGGGACATGATGACCACAGCCGTTGCTCCTCCGAGGAGCGGACGAGGAAATGAAAAACATCGCCACTTCACTTCAAGTCCCCCACCCATTATCTTTTATCTCACCAGTGAGCGTTTGCTTTCATGTTTTCGAGTTTATATCCGCAAAAGCTAAATATATCAGTCTCTTCCAGGTCAGCCAGGTTGCCATGAGTCTGACAGTCATCTGAGATTATCCTCCTGGCAGTCTGGATCGTTTTGGATTTGCAAAATAAAATTTAACAATTCTATTTTCAGTCATAAAGCGAGCGCCCTCTCTCAAAACCACAGCAAAACTAATAACTGAGGAAATCTATCCAAGCAAAAGGTGCAAACAATCTGTCAAGTTGCACTCGATGTATCTGTCATTTTGCCTTGCAAGTGTCTGTCATGCTTTCTGAGACATGCATGCAACAAATCTACCTTCACAAAAATGACATGATATAAAAGAAAAGAGACACCGACAGAGGTACAGTTTTCTGTGCACGAGTCCGTTTGATGGTTAAATCAGACTGAAGACGTATGAAAAATTCTACATTCAAGACTCTTTCATCCTTTTAAACTCTCTATCTACCTTTCACTCCAGTGCCTTCGTGTCATTTTTGAGACATATCTCAGGCTGTCTGCAATGTAAAGTGGAACAAAGTAGCCTGCTGCACCTACAGTTTCCAATAATGTTGAGGGAGGATGTCTTTTTGCACTGGCTTGTACACCCAGAAGCAGTTGTAGAGCTCGAGTTAAACACCAGCAAAACTGAAGGTTCTTGTTGCATTAAGTCCAAACAATGTCTGCTACAAGAGTCAGTTAGGCATCTTGAAGATGTCCACTCACCCTTTTCAAAAGGCTGGCCATTAACTGCTGCCGCTTTCATCTTGAGGGCCTCCCTGGCAGATGTGTCGCAGTGTGAGCCTTTATTAGTATCCTGGTCACTATCAGCCTGGTCACTATCACCATGGCCACTGTCTCTGAGACTTGCTCGTTCTGCATCCTTAAATGTTGAGCTGCAAAATGAAAGAGACAGAGAGGAGCAAAATTAAGCAGAAGTTGTCATAACTTGTAAGTGAGTATCAACACACTCTGATAGGTAGAGTGTGGGAGCATAACAGCACCTGATTTCCACATATTTTCATGTGGAAATTTCATGCTTTTCTGGACTAAAATTGACAGAATTTTATGTTATTTTACTCATCTATTTTTAAAGCATTAATGTAAAATTCACAGTGGACATTTATGGCTTTTCACTGAAACCTGCAAGGAATATGGATGAACGAATGGATGGACGAATGGACAAATGGACGGACAGATGGACGGACGGATGGATACAACTTTTAGAAAAGGTGAAAGAGCATAACGTTGGAAATACGACAGATATGGAAACATAAATAGTTTTCAAAACATTTTCTGAACTTAGCCAGATTTGAAACATACTTAAATTCCAAACTTGTGGAAACACTGTGAATATTGCTCTTACCTTTGAACAAATGGCTGCCTGCTGCCAGAATAATTGGGCTCTGATGAGAAATTTTCAGTCTGGAAGGGAAAAGGGAAAATGTTAATGTGCATTCAACATGTGCAATTGTTTTAAGAATAAGCAAACGCGCACATAAAATACCACAGCATAAATCAACCAGGGGCATAACTTTGAAAAGACTGCCCATGTGGTGGCCATTGCAAATATATTATTTTTGTTATTTCTTTATACTTATTTGCCTATTCATTTTTGACAATCCTTGGCTGGAGCACAAAAAAATCAAGTTTTACAATGATTTTGCTATACATGCCACAGAGGGCAAGGATGACAGGAATGATGTAACAGACAAAAAACAAATGACAAAGTTTGTCAATGAACTGCAAGATGTATGTTCTGTTGAAATACTCCAAAAAATTCATGAAAAATAAGATTACTTCACTAGTGGTGGCAGCATATTTATAGGTTTGTCCTCTAGGCCCCCCTGTTGCTGTCACTAAAATTATAATTTAACATTTTTCTTACATTTTTCAAGAAATCCATGATGATATCACTAAACAAACTCAAAAACAAGCCAGGGAGAATTGCTGAGGAATAGCACATTTCCAATGTGACCATATATATTTTCCTTGGCAAGGCAAAGAGTTCAGCTTTTGCCACTGTCATCAGGAGCCTTCCCCCTCTCTTCTCAAAGTAGTGTGTTTGTGTTGATCACACCCACATACCCTAGTGACTGGTGACAGTGCCAAGCCTTGTCATCTGTGTTATAATCTCCGAATGAGACTGTCCTGAATATTTACATCGTTTACATCAGATAATTCTGCAGTGCTGAAAAGCCCTACAAGCCCATGCTGTCAAATTAGCATGTTAGCTGGCTCGGGTGTTCAAACCCTGCCATCTCTACAAGGGAAGGCTGGAACCTATTAATGGCACCACTGTGCCAATGCTGGATGTGGATGGGTGGATTTGGCCCACATTTCCAAGGAGGGGGCAAAAAATGTGATTGCAGGGTTATGCTATGTGCAACTCTCTCTGTCTGCTGCACATCGGTTTGGTAATGTGATCGGACAAGCTGCTCAAACACCTGTCCAATCCCACATTTCAGGCGAGTTTTTGTTTTCGCTCTCTATAGCAGCGATTCTGGCAGGGTTGCAGGGGCCTTGCTCAAGACTCACACTGTTTGCATGTCTAACCACGAGGACTCTCAAATTACGGAGACCAACTGTGCCATTCTGCAGGAAAAGACTTAAAATGGAGCAATTTGAAAATGATTCTCAAATACAGAGAGAGAAAGGGAAAAAGAACAACCTCTCTTTTGTGCAAAGCCTTTTAAAATGCATGATTACGGTTCAACAGGAGGTTGCCATATCATGCTTTGCATGCGGAGAGTATAAGTTAAGTCTCAAAACAGAGAAAAGAAGAAAAATCAATGTATGATGTCTGCTCTGTATGCCAGTTTTCTCCTTTTCATACACTTTTGTCCAGTTTGTAAGGCAAAGCAGTAGGTGCAGATAAGAGAATAATAGTAAATGAATTAAATGAAGAATCCTGCTTACCTGTATGACTGACATCCTATTCGCTTGAGTTTCTGTGTTTAGCCCAGCAAAACTGGAGTGGCACCCCGACCTGGGCACAGTGAGGCTGTTTGGGGTGGTTTTCAGGTACATGACCTCTGACCTGGGCAGTGTGAGCGGCAGCGGGCTCTGGTAGTCGAAGCATATGGGTGAAGTGATCAGGGACGGGCTGCTGACAACGTTCATCCGGCTCGCAGAATCCCTCTCCTCCATCTCACTCTGCACCAACATGATGTCACTCTTGTTGATCCTTTTCTTTTTTCCCTTCCCCACCGGAGGATTGGAGTACTCAGCCATGCGGCAGTTATAATTCCCAGCATCCTTATCTTGATGCTTGGACTTGACAGCGATGGCAGTCATGACGGCCAGGAGCATGACAGAGATAATGCAGAGGGTAACTATGAGGGGCAGGGACACGTCCCAGTGCTGCTGTTCCCCACTCGCACTGGAACCCCCTCCTGTCGTTGTTTCTGTATTTGCCTTAATGATCAGCTTAGCCACAGCAGATAAGGGGGGCTTGCCATGGTCAGTTACTCTCACCACCAGCTCAACCACTGGGGCAATCTCCTCCCAGAGAGCATGGGCAGTTCTGACCTCTCCTCCCACTGGGTCTATCTCAAACAGGTGGTCATCGTTTCCCTCTGTGATCTCATAGGTTAAGTGCCCACTTTCTCCATGGTCATGGTCCACTGCTTTTACTGTAGCAATAATGTACCCAATTCCCACGTTTCTAGGTACTGGGATCTCAGCCGTATCGTTCTGCAGCAGTGGTAAAATAATAACTGGAAGATTGTCATTCACATCAAGGACATTGACCCTGACTGTAGAAGTGCTCTCCATGTGAGGAGAGCCACTGTCTTTTGCTTGAACCTTGAACTCAAAGGACTTTGTCTGCTCGTAGTTGAAGGAGCGAGAGGCGTAGATTGCTCCATTTGTGGGATTAACAGACACGTACGTGTAGACAGATACGTCTCCAATGTGGGATGGGAGTATGGAGTATGAAACAGTTCCATTACGACCTACATCTGGATCATGTGCCACGACGGAGCCCAAGTACTCTCCCGGGATGTTGTTCTCAGGCACCTGCAGCACATAGAGTGTCTTTGTGAAGCGCGGTGCATTGTCGTTCTCATCTAAGATTTTCACAGTGAATGACCTGGTGTTGTTCAAAGATGGGTTCCCGTTGTCTCTTGCAACAATTGTGACATTATATTCATCTTTTGTTTCTCTGTCCAGAGGTCTGTCTGTAAGCAGAGTGTAGAAATTATCATTGTTTTCCTGAAGTCTGAAGGGCACATTTCCCAGAACCCGGCACTGGAGCTGGCCATTACGCCCTGAGTCTTTATCAGTCACTCTGACCAGTGCTATGACAGACTCTGGAGGAGCTGCTTCACTGATTGCTCCCTGCCGAACAGAGACAAAACTTATAATTGGCAGGTTATCATTTTTGTCAAGTACTTTCACAGTAATTTTACAGTGTCCTGGTATCGGATTGGGCCCCAGATCCTTTGCCTGCACATCAAACTCTATGATTGGATTCTCCTCAAAGTCAATCTCTCCCTGGACCTTAATGACGCCAGTGTTTGGGTCTATTGAGAACAAATCTTGTATTCGCTCAGATGCATATCCAGTGAAGGAATAGACCACCTGCCCGTTGCTTCCCTCATCCTGGTCAGTGGCGTTCAGATCTATAAGTATTTTTCCAGGGGGAGAATTCTCAGGAATCTCTAGCACATAGGAAGATTTTTCAAAAACAGGGCTATTGTCATTTGAATCAGTCACTCTGACGTTGATTTGCATGGAGCCTGATCTCGGATACTCCCCACCATCGATTGCAGTAAGAAGAAGAGTGTGATGACTCTGATCCTCCCTATCGAGGGGTCTCTGAACCACCAGTTCTGGGTATATAGTTCCATCACCCCTCACTTTTAAATCCAAAGAAAAGGTATTGTAGTCATCTCTTGTAACCTGATAGGTCTTTATTCCATTTTCCCCAGAATCTGAGTCATGTGCAATAGTGAGGGGGAAGCGTGTCCCAGCAGCTGCATTCTCAGAGATATCAATATTCACATGATCTGAAGGGAAACTGGGGGAGTTGTCATTGATGTCCTGTATATCAATCTTGATCATGCAAATTTCCTTGTCATTGGCGAACACCTCCATAGAGAGCTGGCACTTGGGGTTGCGCCGACATAGCGTCTCTCTGTCAATCCTTTGTTTGGTGAAGATTAGTCCACTCTCGGGGTCAACATCCACCAGATGCGGGGCTGAATTCTCCAGCACCCTGAAGTTGGATTTCTTCCCTCTCTCTACAGTCCCATATCCGCCGTCTTTTGCTATATTGCCTATAACAGTTCCAGGTCCCTGCTCCTCCGGGACGGAATAATTGAGGTTTTTTAACGTGAGGGCTTTCACCCACAGCAAAAGGAAAACGGGTGCAGAGAGACGCATCCCTTCTAAGTGGATGTGCAGCAGTGGTAGACTGAAAAAAAACAAGAAAACAAAACAAAACAAAAAAAACTGGTTGACTTTCAACCTGTTGATTAGGAGAAGAAAAAAAAAAAAGAAAAGACCTAGTGCTCTAACCCGCACCGGGAACGGGTTTCACGCTGATCTCACACTAATTAGGTATTAAACCGATCTCTGAACCGTGCTCTCCCTTTTTTTAATTTGGATCTTGACCTTTTTTTGGATGCGGTGAAGCTGGGATGAACTCTTTCTGTAAACAAAGATGACCGCTCGACGACACCTGATGAAGGAATTGAATATCAAATTCGGAACCACTACAAGAGAGATGCTTTGTTTCTCTTTGTTTTTTTTTTTTTCCCCCCCCCTCGAAACGTAATGTATGTGTGTGGGTGCGTGCGAGTGTGTATGTGTGTGTAGGGGGACTTGATGAATAATCGATGACTATAAAGTATTCATATTCCCAACCGCATCCAAGGTTAAAGCGTTTAAATCTCGTGGTTGAAGGTTAGAGCGCGGCTCGCAAAAGCGCATTGCCCTCATGCGACATCTACACCTAGGCTACTGCGAAACACTGACATGGCCATTCAAAATGCAGCATTTGCCATTCACATCGCATGTTACTTTCCCCCTTTCTCCTGTGCGGCACACTGTTGCACATACGCGTTCGGTCCGCGTCGCCCATACACAGCCTGCTCACAAAGTGGAATAAAATAAAACAAGCCGGATGCGGAGCTCAGAAATACTCCAGTTCCAACCTTTTGTGCTCAAGAGCGTCTGCGACTTTTGCCCGATGATTGTCCTATAATCAGTCCAGTAATCCCATAATCCAGTCCAATTGGACCCGGTGTTCTTCCATCCTTCATTCCAGACAATTCCCTTCAGCACTGACCCGTAAAACGAGAGGGAGGGAAAAAATGAGCCACACAGAGGTGCTGGAAGATTTCAGATAATCAAAATTAATCGCTTCTCCTGCGCTCACAGGTTTCTCTCCTCTCCGCGTCAACTGTTGAAACCCGCTCCCCTCACTGTGTTGAGCCGATCTGACCGGAAGCCTCTCGAAGCCCTCGCAACGCACTCCCGTGTGTTTCTGGGCGCATTTAACATACTTTCTGATCGTCTTCCAGCGAATGAGTGAGCAGTGACAGATCTTTGCCTTGAGGGGGGTTTCTCCGATAGGGTCTGGCAAGATCGCATGAAGAAGGGCTGTTCTAGTGCTACGTGATTCATTTACTGATGTGCGCGCAGCGAACAGCAGCATCACAGGGAGGAAACGTGCTGGAGGATGTTGCTCCTAATACGTGTCGATGTGAACCAGAGGGGATTGGAGAAAGGTTTCTTGAAATGTGCCGTAGCAGGAGCAGAAAGAACTTGACAAGTGGGGACAGAAACGGTCCGTCGCTATATGTGGCCCCAGGGCAGAAATTTTGTTCGGTAGGGGAGGGGGCCAGTGGGGTCACTTGTTGTCACCGGTCACAGCATCACTATCATCTTCTTTTAAGTGGTCCCTTCTTCATCCTTTCCAAAGTATGCAGAAGTCAATTCATATTATATATATCTATATATTTAAACGTTTCTTATTTTGTATTGTTAACAACTACAAGCTAAAATATAAGTTATGTTTCATTAAAACTAAAGTAGCAGAATCAGTAGGATGAAAATAATACATGGCTTTCTATTTTTTATAAATTAATTTCTGAAAAGTGTGGAGTGCATGTGTTCAGAACACCGAGTCAGTACTTTGTGGAAACAATTACAGTTGCAAACTGATTCACTGGGGCTTGCTTTCACATGCCCCCCAAAATCAATCAATCATTTGAATTTCTCTCTCAGACCACAACCCGACTTCTTCCCTTATTATTATTATTATTATTATTATTATTATTATTATTATTATTATGATGATTAGTCATAGTAGTAGAAGTATTAGTATTTGTATTATTATGGTCAGAGGGTTAGGGTTAAGGTTAGGTTCAGTCAAACTGGATAAAGAGCATGTGCAGACATTAGGTTTTAAGAGTTTTAGTTGGACTTTACTAAGTCGTTTGACTCATGAATATGCTTTTACCTAAACTATCCAATGTAGTTCTCGGTGTAAGCTTAGAGTTATTTTCCTGAGTGAATATGAAGCTCTGTTTTTTGGTGCTTCTAAGAGTTTTTTTCTGTACTGTTCTGCTTTTAGCACAATTCATCTGCCTATTATCTCTGAGCAGCCTTCCTGTCCCTGCTCCCCACAGAACGATGATGGTTTTGTTCAGACTGATGTGCACTGATAGTTAGTCCCCCACAAATAGTTTTTTTCATGGATGCATTTTTGCTATTTTAGCATAAACGCTATTTGTGCAGTGCACAACTAATATTTATATTGTCAGCAGATTGCCTCACCTTAACAGCAGGTTTCTCAGTTACCGTTGGCCTTTTGAGTGCTCCTCTGATCAATGCTTTTCTGTCAATTTAGGAAAACAGCTGGTTCTTGTTAGGTTTGCAGTTTTTCCATACCTTTCTCATTTTCACAGCACTTCCAATAAAGAGTGTTAGGGGTTGACAGCAAAATAATAAAAAAAAGAAAGTTAAATCATTTCTTTCTCTGACTAAGTCATTTGTTGTGTATCTAATATACAATACTTCAATACAAACTGTTGAATTGAGAAGCAGAACCCAAGTATATTTTGTTTGGCTCACAATAAATAACAGTAAACTAGAATATACATGCCTAGAGGAATTAGCACTAAATATATCAAAGGAACAATATGAGTTTATTAAATTCAGAGCCTCAAATCATGACTGCTGACACTGGTAACTATCAGAATTTCCCATTATAACTCGATCTTATTTGCCAGTTCTTTAAAATTTCCAATATGTAGAAGGAAAAATTTGAATTTCTCTCCCACTCTATGGTAATCATGGCTTCAAATGTACTCAAATCCAATGCTTGTGAAATAAGCATTATGAGATAAGGACAACAATCTTAATTTATTCATACTTTGGGCTGGCTTTGGGTGTAATTTATTTCTTTATTTATTTTTTATGGAGGGGGTGACATACGGCCAACATGGTGTTAGAAATGTAAAATTAAAGCTTTCAACATATTTGGAGAGCAACAGAAAGTGCTGTCTTCTCATTGTCATTGAAGCTCCTTAGGTATTCATAACTTAAGATCCTTATTAATTATTAAAAACAACAGGCTTACACCTGTCTCTTCTGTTTGTTCCTCATTTTCATCATTGCTTTTGAGAAAATTTAATCAGAAGATAAAAAGAGAAAGAGAAGGAGACAGACTGTGGATGTTTTCAGGATAATCTCTGTAAAGGACATAAGACAACTGCTTATTCCTCTGAAAGAAACAAGGCTTATTTCACAGCTCAAATATCACAGCTGTTGGTATAACCTGCCTTATGTGGCTATCACATTGCTTATCCACATCAATCTCATATCTCGCACCGAAAAAAAAAGATGGACTGACATTTAGTTCACTCAGCATTTCAACAATATGACATTTGCATTTTTATTCTCACTTGACCAAATCTCGGTGGAGCCGATGTGTGTGGGGGGTGGGGCTCCATGGCGTTGCATTCAGGTACCATATGAGAGCAATTCTGGGAGGAAGCTGTGTCAACATAGGGGCAAGATTACCGTAGCCCGTTTCCTCATTTAATTTCATGTTGCTTGGGATCTAAATCAACCTTGAGTTGCTCCTCAGTTCATTTTCGATGTAGGAAACATGGCTGCTTTTCTCCTGTGGGGAGCATCAACTTTGGCTGGCCCTGGTGCAGCTTGCATAAATTGGCTATTTCTGCAGGTATGAGATAAGGACAACAAAGGGAAACTAATTATCATTCAGTCTATGTTAAAACCTCAGGAAAGAGCTGCTATTGACAATTGTGTCTGCATTGTCACACTCATACCATTTAATATGATCTGAACTCTAAATGAGAGGGTGGTTTATATCCATAATAAATAGGCCACATCCTGATGTGAGGCTTTGGATGCCTTGTTCATCTAAAATCCCGCTGACTTTGTCTTGGATAACTTTCTCTAATGAGACCACAGTACTCGACCTGGTATGAAATGCAATTTCTGTTGCCTTTTCTCCTCTTTTTTAACTGCAAGAACAACAGTGTGCATCAGGTGTTCCATGGCAAATTGATTTTTACGTGAAAGCACATTATTCCAAAGGCGTAAAAAAACATACCTGTTGTAATTCCGTGTGGAAATAACAAACAGTGGCTATGCTCTGTTTAAGCACACTTGTAATATTTTGCCACCTCTCTCATGTGATTCACTTACCGCACGGCGCAAGCATGATTAAAGGTGAGATTAAATTGTTTATCATTCCCTTTTTTTTCTTTTTTTTTCTGCTGCTGTCTCTAGTTGCGCCACAATTTGAGCAGCACACAGGAATACTGATGGTGGGGGCGCAGGAATAATGATTAGGACAAGCCACTGAATCCTGCTGCAGAGTAAATGAGTATGAGAAACAAGTTTTAATGGAGCATTTGGAAAAACAATCAGTTACTCCCTAAAAATAAGAGTTATTATAAAGGAAAAATCAACCTTATTGTACATGAGGAAAATCTTCAAGTTGTAAAGAGTCTTACAAAACAATTTAAAGCTCTCTATATGTCTGCATTTTGTCCGTTTATTTCATTTTATCATTTATTTCTTTTATAACATTTTAAATACTAGAGCCACCATAATTAGTAAAATTGTTTTAAGATGATAGTTTCCAAATTATTTTTCAAACTCTAAGAACCAAGAAGCATATTTTTATTGAGTAATCTTATTTAGACATCCCTAAAAAAAAAAAAAAGTGCAACCAATTACCTTTAGAAATCATAGAGTACATCTGTGTTTTATAAATGCAACTGTTTTGTGAATTTGTAGGTGGTTCGTAACTCTGGAGGAGCTACAGAGAGCCGCAGCTCAGGTGCGACAATCTAAACGCATGAATTAAATATTTATTTAAGATTTAAAGGCAACTAATTTTTACAATCAGAAGAAACAAGCATCACGCTG